AGCAGGCTCCCAAGGAGCGGGAGCCCGATGTGGGACTCGATCCCAGGACCCTGGGATCATGACCTGAGCCGAAGGCAGACGCTTAACCATCTGAGCCACCCAGGCGCCCGAGGTTTTAAATTTTTTATACAGGCAAAACTATTGGCCTTTTCTTCATTTCATAATTGGAGATTTCTTCTAAGATTGTTAAAATATTCATTCAAGTTTCTAATTCCTTACTTTTTTGGTCATAGATTCATGTAAAATTATATTGGTGAAAAGAATGAATCCACCCCCGCCCACATTTTTTTTTCAACAGTTTCCCTATTGGTGGACATTTGGGCATTTCCAACTTTTTACTATTATATGTATTATACTTCTAATGAAAAGCTTATTTGGGGGACTTGGGAGCTATATATATATTTATATATATATAAATATATATATATTATGAAGGTAACTCATATCAATTCATCTAAATTCACATCTACTCACCTTTAGAAAAATTATATCAATTTACATTCCTAGAAGCAGTGGTGCTTGAGAGGACCTGTTTCTCCATACTCTTGCCAACAAAAGCTGTTATGTTATAAAGTGTTGACAATCTGATTAGGAAAAAGTGAGGCTTATTGTTGTTTTAATCCATTTCTTTAACTATGTGTAGCATAAGACATCTTTCAATATGTTTATTGGCCATTTGTATTTCTTCTTCTGTGAATTGCCTTTTTGTGTCCCCATTTTTTTTTCCTACAGGAGTTTTCATTATTTCTTTTAAAGATTCATTTATTTGAGAGAGAGAGAAAATGTGCGAATGGTGGGTGGGCGCAGGGTGGGGTAGTAGGGGTAGGGGGAGTGGGGGCAGAGGGAGAGGCAGAGAGAGAATCTTAAGCAGACTCACTGCTGAGCACGGAACCCATTGGGATCTCACCACCCTGACATCATGACCTGACCTGAGCTGAAATCAAGAGTTGGATGCTTAACTGATTGAGTCGCCCAGGTGCCCCCATTATTTTTTTTTAAGTTTATTTATTTATTTTTTTAGCAATCTCTATACCCAATGTGGGCTTGAACTCATAATCCTGAGATCAAGAGTTGCATGCTCTACCAACTGAGCCCCAAGTTTTCATTATTTTTAAGGGAAGGATGTCCATCCCTAATTAGAAATCAAATACTGTATTTATTTTTTAATTTTTAAAAAAAGAACTTGATTCTTTTTTTACTTCATCTAAAAGATGAATTATTTTGAATGGAACCTGGAGATTTTCATGGAATCTAAAGGAAGCTCAATAACCAGAACTCAGGATGACAGGAACTTCTCTCTCCCAAGCCTTCAGGTTTCTTATTTTTGTTTCTGTTTTTCTCTGTTTCTCTCTTTCTGCAGATGGGCATTATCTCGTTTTCATGGGTGCCCCACAAAGATGGTCCCTTTTCTGTATTTCTATCACTTTCAAGTAAACAGCCCTGGCCTGTTCCAGAAACTCATTGAGTTCAGTTCCAAATTCCTGAGAGAGAGAGAGAGAATCTAATTGGCTGATCCCAAGTCAAGCATCTCCCTCTTGTCCAGTCAATGGGGGCTAAGGGACAGGGCCACGTAGGGCAGACATGGCTGCTGGAGGCCACACAGAGGGTCATTAATGGTTTGCAGAAAAGGAGGTCATCACAGTTTGGATATATACCCAAAAGCTTTCTACTACAAGTATTGCTATTATCATATAATGTACCCTAATGTCTATTTGGACTCTGTTCTCTTAATCAGTTATGCTGTGGTATAATCTTAGTACTAGCTGGTCTTGGCAATTCTGAATCTTAAGGACTTAGAGATCTGCAGGCAATCTCAGCTGCCTTGGTAAGATGAATCACTTTTCTCCTAGACTTTCAACTTCCAGTGGTAGAATGGCTTAACTCCTTAAAGAAACTTTGAAACTAACCTGGTCTGGAGATTTGGGATTCATTTAAATTTCTTATACGAGATCACCAGCCCAAGAAATTCAGAAAGAAACTGGCTGGTCTTGGGCATATTCCAGGCAGTGGCACCTACAGGCATAGCTCCTAACATTGTTCTGAGATAATACCTAGAAGCCCTTTTGGAATATTGCCATCAGCTTTTCTTCCTTAGGGTGGTGCTCAGCAATTTGTCCCTTTGTCTCTCAACCAGTCCTTCTCCATGCCTTCTTCCCAACAAAACAAAACTGCAGAGCCATTACAGCAGAACCATATGTGTTAATAACCCCTCAGATTCAAGCGGAAACTCACATTCCCATGAGAGAATCATTCAATGGAGGATGGAGCGGTTGGTAGTTCCTTCATACCTAATGTGCCAGCCACCTTGGTCAGTGTTTTTGCATAGTGGATCAGAATGGTCAGCTCTTTACTGTGGGTGACCATGCCAAGAATTGCAGACGTTAAGCATCCTTGGTCCTCAAGGAATTAATGGCTAGGGTACCACTTCCAATCTCATGAGAACCAAAATATCCCCATGATGTTTCAGAATTCACTTGAGGAGTAGTTGCACTCCTTTGAGATAACTTCTGCCATGAACCGAAGTTCTCAGCCACTTGGGTCTCTTATTTGTAAGGATCTCTTTGCATTATGTGGGCTGTTTATGTGTGAGCTAGTATACCCCTAGTAGTGCATGGGGTTGGCCAAAAGTTGTTTCTCTTGGGTCAGCATTCTAATAGAGTTGTCAGGTTCCAATAACATTTTCTTCTCTTGGATTCTTGGTCAACGCAACTTTAATCCATGGGTATTGCAAGTTAACTTAGTTTTAGTTAATAGACTAAAATCAATTTCTGTTTTTTTAAGATTTTATTTATTTATTTGCCAGAGAGAGAGAGCACAAGCAAGGGGAGCAGCAGGCAGAAGAAGCAGGCGGAGCAAGGAGCCCGATACGCGGCTCGATCCCAGGACCCTGAAATCATGACCTGAGCCAAGGCAGACGTTTAACCGACTGACCCACCCAGGTGTCCCTAAAATCAATTTCTGATTATCATGTAGGTAAGGCCAAATTGAACTCAAACCATAAGGGGAACTGTAGCAGAATATAGTGGATAGAGTGCTAGACTGGGAGTTTAGAGATCCTTACTAGCGTGTCATCTTAGGTGATCAATTACTCTCTCTTGGTTTCAATTTCTTCATATGTAAAATGGGGAGGTTGGGCTCGACAGTCTCAGTTTCTTTCAGGTCTAATATTGGGATTTTTTATAATCTGTGTCCCCATTCCATCATCCATAAGATTGGGACAACATGTGTTCACCTCTGAGACAGAATTTTCCTTAACGTTAGTAAAATATCGCAACATTGTAGCCACCCAAAAATTAGGCCCTGGCAATGATCTAAGCTTCCGCACAGGTGTTAGAGGCGTAAGACCAGTTTCTTATAAAATGTTTATAACTACTGTAGAGTATGAGTTTGTAAGTATTATACCTGTATGCTGTTACAGTTGTCTCCCATAAGATAGTCACGTTGGACGGAAAAAAAATCACTGGAGAAGAGACAGGGCATACATTCCATATTTTAATAGAGGACAAGGAAGGGAAATGAAGTAGAAGGGAAGCCAGGTGAAGAAATGACCTGGGCTACTAGTACCATTGTCTATTCCCATAATCATCTTATGTTTGTGGCCACAATAGTTATCATTTCCTGAAGTGTTTTTTATTCTTGAAGTGTTTTTACAGTGCCTATCTTGAATAGGCACTGTATTGAGCTTACATATTTTATCTCATTTAATTCTCACAGCAATCCTATCCAAGCAGGCATTGTGATTACCAAGAATTGGCAGAATGAGAATTTGAATCCTAAATGTGTATGACCCAGAACCCAGGCTTTGAAAGCCATTATATTTTATTGTCTTATTTGGTACTGGGACAGGAGGCGGTAAAATGCTTTCCCTTTCTAAAACCTTCTAGCAACCCAGACACTATTGGTTACTTATTCTAGTGCTGTCTGCTGTTGAAATTGTTATGGAAAACATACTCCAGTAAGAATCTGAAAAGTGGGTTCAGTTTTACTGCTCTATATTTTTGGACAAGACAAAAGCTTTCTGGATCTCACTTTCCTTATTTGTAAAACAGAGAGCTATGTGAAGGCAGAAGGCCATTTCTTACTCATCATTTCCTCTGTTGGATGTAGCGGTGTTGGGCAAATAGGAATGCAAGGGGGTAGACAAGATGGTCCCTATGCTGCGTTTCTCATTCTTTGATATTGAAATGGGGCCTTGACCAGGCAGGTGTACCATATGCACAGCAATCTTTTGTTTTCTATTTTAAAACAGAAGGTATGCCGAATTCTCGTGACTTAACCTTTATTTTGAGAGGGTTGGTCCTGACCAAATGGGTGGGAGATTATGTGTGTTGCTGTCTGGATCCGTGATTGACGTTCGTATCCAGGCCTCCTTTACTTTCCAGAGACTTGATAATACTGTTGCATAACAGAAACACTGATAAATTGTAGTAACCATTATGAAGGGTGGCTGGGAACCAAGGATTCACGGCACTATCGATCCAGGAAAGCAGCTCTTAAAACTTATGCAAAAAGCCCTCCTTCCAGGGCGAGGGGCAAACCCCTGGCTAAGAAGACTGTGTTCTGCGTGCACTGTGGTACTTGCCCTTGCCCTAGTCTCTTCTCCCAGACTTGATTTCTCACCTGCAAAATAAAGTTGCCGTAGACCGAGCTCCCGGAACTTCTCCCAAGACCCCGGGCTTTAACTCCTCCCCTTGAGTGTGGGGGCGGGGCGAGGAGAAGGTCAGGCCAGGAGTCACCCCAACCACCCGGCCGTCCCTTTCCTACTTCCCACTACCCGCCCCCTCGCTCCACCGCGGTGAGGTCACGCGGGGGACGTCACGGGGTTGTGACGCCACTGAGGGGCGGGGCTCCAGGAGAGGAAGGGGCGGGGCACAGGCGGGCGGCGCTTGCGCAGT